AACCCTGAACGACTGAAGAGTGCCTCTTTACCTTCTGAAGCGGAGCTGCCGAAGGGCAGGAGCGTCCCCGCACACCCCTCGCCGATGAAAACGCCGGGCAGAGTGGCGAGGGACAGCGGCCCCCTGCCACCACCCCGACGTCGTCTCCACGCACACCCGGCAAAGTCTCACCCGGCCAAAAAGTAACAGAACCACAACTGGCTTGGCGGGGAAAGAGCAGCGGCTCAGGCTGTATCCCGTGAGGAAATAAGGCTGCTAGAAACACTCTCATGGAAGGAGGAAAGTCTTCTCTCCGCAGACGGCGGCAGGAATGTTTACTGAGAGATTTCACACAATGAGAAGTATCTGCTAGATACTGGCACGAAGTGTCAGACTTCAAAGTAAAGAGCTGTGCCTTTTTAATTCCATGGCTTGGTGCTTTAGGTGAGGACGCATTTGCAAATCCCACAGACGGCTGCCTATCCCTGGATGAGCCCCCACCCCACTCCTGCACCCAGAAAGGGGCCTTACCCTAACCCCACCGATCTCCCCGGCCTTGCAGGTTTGCAGGAGCGCAGGGCGGCGGGTGCAGGAGGGATGCAGGCAGATGTGGTGCAGCTGATGCAGCTGCAGCGATGCAAGACAGCGCCAGCCCTGCGGTTTGTCACCGTCCCCCGCAGAGACCATCTCCCCGGGGAGATGCAGGACACAAGGGGCTGAGCCTGCCTCGGGTGGGGACAGTCAACCCCACTGGGTCAGGCTGAGGCGACCGTTTGTGGGGTGCCCGAGACAAACCCCCATCCTACCTTCTCACCCCCATTTTTGCCTCCTGTCTGCATCCCTGGCTGAGCATTCCCACCAGTTACCCTGAACCGATTCAGGTGCTCATGCAGCCGAGTCCACTAAAACAGCAGAAAATAAATCCAGAAAAACAAAACAAAACACAAAAAGAAGAGTTTATTAGTTTATTTTTGCTGAGATGGTGAGTTGAGCTGGCACGTGCCAGAGGCCGCAGAAGGGTGCCTGTCTGGGGACCCGGTGGGACAAGGACAGGGCAGCACGGCCGGGGGGGGGTTTTTCGCCTCCCGCGGGTTTTGGCAGCCGTGAGTTGTTAGCCCTGAAACCTGTGAATTCGCACGGAAGCAGATGCCAGCGTCCTCAGCTAGCGGGAGCGGGCGCTGGGCAGGGGAGGGGAGCCCCAGCCTCCCCCTCCCAGGGGCAGCGGCAGACACCCTGGGGCAGAAATGTCTCAAACCGCTCCAGCTACGACTGCCAGATGCTGCCTGTCTCTGGCTTAACTGAATTTAGCACACTCAATGAAAAAAATCTGTATCAAATTAAGAAAATGAGTAATGTTAATGGGAGTTGCACGCAAACGCTGGCAGGACAAAGGCTCCCCTTGTTAGCTCACCCACCGAATCCAAAGGTGACCATTAAAGGCCTATCAAGGTACCACCAGGACACAACATAAATCAAGTGTGACACGTCTTGATGCTTTAGACAGGTCTATCGCGCTCGACCAAGGATTGCGATGTGACAAAAATCTGTTCTGAATTATTCTCCGAAGCTAGCAGAGATTAGAGCACACAGGCCATGCGTTCCAAGCAGAACTCGTTGGAAATTTTTCAGCATAAAATGTTGATTCATCAAAACCCAAACTCTTCATGGGAACAGACTGCTTTTGATGAAAGGCTCCTCGGCTCCAGGAGGGAGAGATTTGAAAACCGAAGCAGGGAGACAGAAGCATCTCCCGGAAGAGGCACCAGCTCAGTGACTCAGTTGCTTGCCAAAGACGCGGAAGATCGAGATTTGTATCTGCAGCCCAAGTCAGGCAAATGAGGGGTGGCAACTTGGCCCTCCACACCCTCAAAAGGTGGCCTGACCATCGAGGTATCGGCTGCTCTGGGAAAGGGCTCGCTCTCCCAGAAGATCTGCTCCGTCCTGGTTCAAAGCAGGAAATTGTGGAGATCTTCAAGGGGCCAGGAAAGTCATCTCACGCCAAGAGACACTACAGGCGTTTCAGTTGTTGGGTTTTTAAAAAACAAAAACAAAACAACAAAAAAAAAAACTTGAGATTGATATCAACATTAGGGTATCAGCAGGGAGAACACAAATTCTGCAGGAAAGCTTTGGACTAAACAGTGTTCCCTGCATCAGGTACCCTAGACCAGCAGACAGACCTCTAGCTGAACTGCCCAGCTTTTGCTGGACGAGTCTTATAGGAAATGGTTACACATAAAGATGATCACATTCTAGATGACCACTGATGATGGCCTCCTCAAAGAATATAATTTTCTTTGAAAACAGTCACCTTCCTTTCTCTTCCCTCACCCCAATACTAAATACTTCCTAAAATAATTACAAAACTAAAATACTCATTTCAATTAAACCCAAGTTACTAACTCTCAAACCTGCAAAAAGTTGGGCTGTTAGATTCCAGAAGAAAATCTGAAATGTATTAACTTTCCAACCAAATTTGAAGCACCTCGCAAGACAACAGATTGCAAATTTAAAATTAGACTCTAGTGGGAGGCCCTGGTGACAAATCTGTGTTTTTCTCCCGGAGCGGAGCTTGAAGGCTGTGAGAACCAGAACAATGATTAAATCCACAGCGAGCAATGAGCCTACAGAAATAAACTTTTGCTAAAATCTGCCAGCCAACAACAAAGACTTTTACTGAACTCACAAGAACCACGTAGAAAAATGTACAAGACTAATAACCAAGTGTGAACATACACATTTTATTGTAACTAAAATGTGCTTTTTCAAAAGGGCAAGAGAGAGGCTGAAATTCCACTGTAAGCCTTTGAGTTTCTCGGAAACTCCAGCAGCATATTTAATTGTTTTCAAATCAGAACCTTTTAACCAGCCATTTCTTTTTTGTAAGCCGCTCTCACATATGTTAAAGCAGGGGATGGACTCCAGAAAGGCCCTGCAGGCAATGCAGATCAGAGGAGCAGAGAGGGAGGAAGGGATGTCATCAGTAGCTGCTTGATAGCCATTCAAATGCCTTTGTATTGCTAAACGGGTGTCACCATAAACCACATGCACTTCACCCATTTTTTTTCCCCCTCCCGCGAAGCATTATACAACACAGCAAACTCCTAAGGAAAAATATATGGACACACATGTACCTTCCGAGGCAGTACTGGTATCCAGCGCAACCTTCCCCAAGAGAGCTGTGGCATTTAGAGGTACAGAATTGCAAATGATACCAAAATGAACAGTTACGGGGACTGCAGAAGCTGTCAGCACCTGCCACTCAGCGACTCCGTTACTCTCGCGTCAGAGTCTATGACTATATGCCAAAAACCTGGGGAGAAAGAGGGGAGAAAAAAAAAAAAATCAGACAAAGAGTTAGCAGGAACAGCTATACAGGAGGACGTCTTCTGCCCGGTCCTGTTATCATCACTTACCTAAGAAACACTGTGCAATACACATGCGAATGCTGTGCTTAAATTTGAATGATGAAATCTGATGATGGCAGAATAAATGAAAAACCCAGTCAAGCACCACCAGCCCAAGCTACAGAACGTGGGGGGTTCCTCCTCCCACCACTCTGCACAATAAAACTCCCCACAGACCTTATCCTGCTCCTGCTGAGGACGGTCTGTCTCGGGCAGGGCTAGAAAACCTCAGCTCCAAAAACACGCCTGTGTCCGAAGACGACCACCAAGAAAAGCACCTTCCAATAAACCAGGGTTTAACTTCTGGCAGCAAGGGAGGACCCAACTGCCCGGAGAAATGGGAAGACCTCAGAGGAGGTTTCTCTGCTCTCTCTAACCTACAAAACGGGCAGTTACCCAAGCAGGGATTTCATTAACATTTTTCAAGGGCAAATCAGACACGTAGGGCAGAGCGTTGTGAAAGGGTCGTCAGGTTAACTGCCTTCACTAAGGCGCGGATACAGGAGACCAGTCCACACTTATTTAGACCTAAGACGAGTGATAAGAACAGTTCTCAAGGGAGAGACGCGCAGGTACCAAATCCCAGCCCCTTCTTGGCCTGATACCACTGGCAAGCTCCCTTGCAAGTACACCAGCTCAAGGTCCAGTCCTGCCAGACACCAAGAACCCCAAACTCACCGGAGGGCTGGGTGCGCTGTCCAAGGCAGCTCTCAAGTCGCCCAGCTCCCCCTTCTCCCAGCCAAACCCTGGCAGGGAAACATCAGCTCAAGGCGGCATGCAGAGCTTTGAGAGTTATGAACTTCTCCGAAAGTCTCAAGGAACAAAAACCTTGGAAGAGATGACTGATGCCCTTCATGTTATTAGAGCTGCTTGGGGGGGAAACTGTGATCCTCGCTCTTGGCTGGATTCTCAAAAGAGATGAGAGTCACCGGCTCCTTTCTAAATTAAAAATGTTCTCATTTTCTTTCTCTTCCTTCATGTTCCCTTCTCCGCTCCCTACCTCCCCCTCTTCCCCCAAGCTGTTGGTTGAGATCTGAAAAGCAGTTCATGAATTGCTCAGGAGCTGGCAGAAATTAATAAAATGAAGTTCATTTATATTGAAATGGACTCATTACCATGCCAGCTGCCAATAATTTGCAAGACGGGAATCTTGCTGACAAACAATGTCCTACAGGCAAGAGGCTTCCCACCTGCACCCACCGCACGACAAGCGACCGGCGATGTGTGCCCTCACCTCCAAAGGAAAAGGCATTGCGACCACCTTTTTTCAGATCCACCCGCCGCTGCCCCAGAAAACTCGTCCAAAACAAGAAAAAAAACAAGCAGATGCAGGTGAGCATTTTATCCAATTTTCCATCCTGAAGCAGCTTTTGAGGAGTTTGCAACTCAGAAAAATCCGCTCCAGGCTGAAGCGTACTCCAGTCACTTCTGTGAGAAACCAACTACAACGCTGCCCGCTCCGTGCTCCTCCAACAAAAATCATTCTCTTCTTGCACTCGCTCGTTAAAAAGGTGGGAAGATCCCAAGTGGATGTTTACAGCTGGATACTACACTACCCAAATCCTCACCACGCTCCGGTACATTTGAAGGGCTGGCAACATCCTTTGCCATGAACAGACGAGTACCGTGCACGCACAGCTCCTCCAGAAGAGAAGGATTTATCATTACCCACGGATTCTCTCCTGAAAAGCTTTGTTCCTATTAACTTTTACAACTTGGAGAGTCTTCCCCAAATGAAACCAAGTCATACTTTTCAAGAACAACATCAGTTTTTCATAGTTCTCTCTGTCTGCCATTAACAGGCACTGGAACGGTCCCGGTTCACCCCAACAGCCCAGGCTCTGCCGCAGCAGAAATCCTGGAGGTCTGCGGCGCTGAGGCAGCCTCAGACAAGGACTTCACTCCCACAAGGTCTCAGCAAAAGGGGAGGCAGAAAGGGAGGAACGGCAGAAGCAAACAGGAGCACAGCCCACGCCTTGCTTCCCGGCACAGGACGCCTTCGCTCCTGTGGACGCCTGCTCTGTCGGCGGAGCCTGACCGAGGGGGAAGCTGGCCGTGCCCTCAGACCCCCAGTACCTCACCAGTCACGGCTCTCCCCAGAGACCGACGGTGGGAAACGTTCACACATGGAACAGTTCATTGCATTAACAAATAACCATCAAATACAGATTTGCAAACTTCTATGCTCAAGACAAAATACTCGGTCTCAGAGCTGACTCCTGCACACATGCATGCCCACACACATGTATAGACATCCATGATGCACGTATGCACGCGTGTATGCCCATGCCTACATACGTCAATGCAACTCCTCTTGTTCTTTGAAGGTCTGGAAGTTGCACAGCTGTATTTATTTCATAGCCACAAAACAGTGCCTTGAAAAATCAGGCCAAGGAGTTCCTACAGGGCTCATCAGACAGCAACTTAAGTCAATCCAAACGGAGGAAACTCGCAGCAAACCGCCATGAATGGATTAAATGAATGCACGGTAGGGAAGCAGAATATATTAAAGGAGCACCTTGTTATCCCTCGCATCTGCTACCCGTGATTCTAGGTACGGCAAAGAGAGGTTTGACTTTCACATGCTGGGAGCAGTTTGCAATGCCAAGAGATTAGGAAAAAAACCCAGCACACCTGTTTTCTTTTTGCTTGCAGACACTTGACGTGAAAATTAATGGATGAAAAATACGGAAGCTGTAGTTTTTCTAAAAGCCTCCTTTTCAAAGCAGAACCCTTCCTTTCCAGCAAGGAAAAATTAGTACGCAAGTATATCCCCTTGTCCAGCGAACATGAAAAGTTGGCTAGAAGGACGACAGCTCTCTTTCAATTCTATTTTTACTTTTTGATTTTATGATGCATCGTTTTTGTCAGATTCCAACTGCAACTGCAGACGTGAGATCAGTTGGTCATTAAGCAAATCTTCATCCAGCTTTGAGAAGCCCTTGGTAATCCTACCATAAACCATCAGGATGCATATACAGAGACAGAAAGCAGTAGTCATTTCATACAGAAACTATTTAATGTTAATCAATGGCTCTGGGCTGTGTTCCCCACCCACGATCCCAGTTCCACGCCATTGTAACTCTGGCATTCGATCCTGTCTCCTGAAATGGAGAATCAGGCCCTTTATTTGTAACTGGAGGCCATGTTTTGTTAGTTTTTATTACCTCTAGTTAATATGAATTGCTGCCAAAATCAATTTATCAAATCACCTACCCTGAGAAGAAGGTAAATGCTGGAGTACGCTCCAGGGTCCTGGTGCCCTGCCAACTCCGGCTCTCCCTGTCCCGTACCCCTGGGCTGCCCCCCCAAAATGAAACATGGCAATCCACAGAAGATGGTGGGTGGGTGGGTGGATGGATGGATGAAGAGAGGCTAGGTAGGATGGATGGACGGATGGATGGATGGAAGGGGAGAGGCTGCTCTATGCCCAGATCTTTGTCCGAGAAGGCTTGCCACGACTGGGCTGGGTGCACGCATGTGTTCAGAAATATAATTCAGAAATGCTCCAAGCTTCCCCATTCTCAGTGTAGTCATTGAAACTACGTATGACACCGAGCTCCGAGACCAACTCCAGTGGACTGCAAAAGCTGGCTGACTTTTAAACCAGTGAAAACAAATGACAAACATGCTCCTTTTTGTATTCTCTTTCTATGACATACAAAATATCATAGAAACCTTTCATTTGTGACAAAAATTAATGTTAAATCAACCACAGCTTATACTACCTGTCAAAGAGAACGCCTGCTCCTGAAACTGGCATCTGACGACGACGGCCCCCCGGCCAAGGTTGGGGGGCACACCTGCACGAATGGGCCAGCGCGGCTGGAACTGCAAAATCTCTTTGCAACCGTCTCACTGCCACGCACCCTTCGTGTCTGTCACAGTTGAGAGAGCCACGCTGGGTCATCGCTCCAGATGAAGAGGAGGGGAAAGAAAAATAAACCCATGTTCTCTTTGTGGAGAACTCATAAAGCAAAGGTGTGGGAAGTCTTGTTCCTCCAGCTGTAGCACCACACCTATGAGAATTTCCAAGGGAGGGAAGAAAAGGCAAAAAGAGGGGGAGGGAGGAAGGTCCATCAGGAGACCCAAAACCCCCGTACAGCCGAAGTCAGCCAGCCCCAAATCACAGCTAAAGAAAACAAACCGAGAAGCGTGGCGCGGACAAAGCACCGTGGGGCCTCGGTAACGCGTTAATGGAAGAGAAGAGCAGGTAGCCCAAGGGAAAGGCCCCTCTTCAGGGTTTCTATATTTATACGAGGGGATGTGAATAATTGACACAGTTGCGGGTTAGCTTGGTTTTTAATCATTTTTACAAGTACCTGAACCTGTTTTAAGTCTTTCTCCTTCCCTTCCCTTTTATTTTTACTGGTGGGAAAATCCCCCTTTCTTCCCTCAGGGAAATCTGCAAGGTTTTACACGTTTACAGAAAAGGGCGAAGCAGGGGAAGGATTCTAATTTCAGATCATCAGACATAACCAAATCCATGGGAAGCCACGAGGACAACTCCCTGGAGCCTGTGGGGCAGACGAAGAGCAGCTTGCGTCCCGGGAAGCGGAGGGGGTTTATAGCCCGCGCCGGGGAGCTGCAGCCGGCGCTAAGCCCCGGGAGAGCTGGAGGGCAGGAGGAGCCCACTCGGCCTCCACGGAGGGCAAGAATGAGACAGGGAACTACAAAAAGCTATTTTATTAAAAAAATAAAAAGAATTCCCCAAATGCAGCTGAAATAAAAATAAGGTGTGGTTTGTTTATTTACCTTTAGGTTATACATTATTGTTATTACACTTTGCTGGAGAAGGACTTTCTGCTTGTGCCAAATGAGCAGAGAACTGCTGACGCACAATGAGGACGGGACGTGCCAAATGCATTAAAAAAGAAACTTTAGAAGTAACAAGAAAATGTTCAGACC